ACAGTTACTAATGTCATACGTAGGGGTATGTTATGACTTTTTTATGTAGACCCCAAAGATCAATGTTACTAAGAGACAGGACAGTTGAAAACTACCTGTCTGGTAGTATTCAACTACTGTCTGCTAGTTGAATACTGGCAGTTGCAATAGGAAAAAATGAATAGGAAAAAGAAAGATTAAAATAATACTAGTTCAAATTTAAACTATAGGTAAGTAGTCTGAGGTGTGAAGGATCATACCAGGTAAAAGCATACAGGCAGCTGAGTACTTAAACTACTTTTTTGCCTGCTTTAATGAGATAATTAGGGAATGTCCTGAAAAATACAAGGGGCAAAATCCTCTCTTCACTGTTAATAGCCACTATTATTTTGTAGGCTATGCCCCTTATTTTGCAAGTAACTATAGGCTCCTGAAAGATATGTCAAGGCTAAATGGCTTCTGGGAGAGCAGAGCCTGCTTTTTGCTGCTATTTTTTGCCAAAGCAGTAACCTTCCGAAAACCCTTTTAGGATGTGAAACAAGACTAACTGTTAACTATAGGCAACATTGAGTACTAACACAGACAGAATATGTCTGGACTCTACAAAAAGGAAGAGAGAGGACAATATATATAGAACAAATTATAATATCACAGTTAAGATTGGTCATAGACTAATGTGTCTTTAATAAGTTAAAGTCATGATGGGTGTGTCTGCACATGCCCATACGGTGACATATGACACTGGTGCAATACATGCTGCTATTGCACCATGCTTTAGTATAGAGGTTTCAACCTTTTTGGTCAGTGTGCAACTGGTCGAAAAGTGGTGGCGGGGGGGTGTTCTGCAGTGGCCAATCAATGAGTGGGGGGTGGTTTCTTGTAGCCAATCAACAACTGGGCAGGAGGGTCCCTCGTGTGCCCAGGGCAGTAAAACCTTAAGTGCCAGCGATGGAAATGCTGGTGAAAAAAATGCTGGCAGTGCACAGCAGCACAATGTGCTGGCAGCCCCACCCCCCGTTTTTCTGTGCTGCTGCTGTCTACCCCCTGGGGCTTTCCCAAGTACCCCCAGGAGTACATGTACCTCCGGTTGACAACCCCTGCTTTAGTACTTCTTTCTGGTGAAGTAATGGCTAAAAATAACCGCTTCATGGGCACTTGTTGATGCACCCATCATGACTCTAATATAATACCCATTGGGTGCATCTACGTGTGACCTTTTGGAAGTACTGCAATGTACGCTGGGCTCACGGTTATTTTTAGGCACTGCTTCACTGTAGTGTGCACTATAATGAGGGAACGCGCCACTATGATGAAGTAGCTGCTGGTCACATGTCAATGCATGTGGTCACTGTGTTGCTGTAGCATGTTGCTATGGCAACGTAGCATCACATGTAGACGTGCTCAGTGGGTATTATGTGAATGTCTAGGCTGGCCACAAAAGAAGGAAATACCTGCATTTAAAATAGTACAAGTCTAGGCTGACCACAATGGGTCCCCTTTGTGATCTGGAAATTACTTGCATATAATTGTTATAAGCTTACTGGCTTGTTGACTTCATAAGGACAGAAGGGAAAAAAGGGAAATGAAAGGAGACAGCCGCAAGACTCATGGAAATTGAACATGAACAAGGATCAACAACTGAAGAGGTGGTAGAATTTGATTGGATAACAGCAAACAAAGGAACTGTGAGGTGTAAAAGAAGAGGTTACATGGAAAGCAACTTGGGTACATAACAACAAAGACACCACTGTGCAGATGCGCTGAAGCCCCCTTGCCTGACAACTTAATCTGGCCAGCAATATCATTGAGCAATAGACTACTCATCCCATATGTAATGTATCTGATCATTTCATTTTGCTTTAAGCTGTCAATAAATCAATGTGTTCTATACGACTGGAATGGTCTGAGATCTCATTTATTATTGTTGTCCAAGCCACCTCAAATCTACTTGTTACAAGTGTAACAATCTGAAAGAAGATATTTAGGATTTATTACCTTTATCAGTTTGCCCTAAAAGTACTTAGTATCTTTAAAGGATAGTTACAGAACCTGAAGTTCATTCCCTGCGTCCAAATTTTCCTTGTAAATTACAGTTGTCTAGTGGTTCTTACCCTATGTCATGGATTCACCCCAGAACCCTTTGGGGTTCACTGTGTGACATGCACGGGTAATCTCCTAGATTAGTTTTAATCCTGTGGTGTTTAGTCTCTATTTGTAGCTGGTGGGAAAGTAGGTTAAGTTTAGTCACTTTCATATCTATATGTATTGGATATAAATATATTTATTATATTAAATTGGCTATAAATATAATTTTGATATGTCTTTACATTACGCCATGTCTGTTTTAGTAAGGCAGTGGTTGACTTGAGCGGCCTTTGATTGTTCACACTTACAAGAGACAATAGCTGAGAATTAGGGCCTTATGACACCCTCTGAGCTGAACAAATGTTCATGAGTGTGGGTGCATCTGCATGTGCCATTGGGAAGCTTATTGCTTCACAGTTTATTGCTCCTGGGAAGGTCCTGGGCCTGCATTTTACATGCACACCCATTGCACTGCCCATTGAGCTGGGTCACAACAGCCCTGGTGTAGAACAGTACTGGGCAAAATGTGTCTGACCCACCCCAACTCACATGCCCAGCCCTGCTCCCCCCCACCCCTCCACCCCCTCATTCCTCTCCACTGTCCCTACTCCCCACACCACCCACATACCTCATCTCCCCACATACAATATAAAAAAGTAAGACTTTATTTTGAGCTATTATGCAATTGCCTTTATATATACTACTCAAAAATACATAAATCAAGACAAAGAATATTTTTTGCAATAAAATTAAAATGTTATAGTAGATGTTTGATTTTTAGTATATGATTTCTTTTTTCTCTGTAATTTGTTAAAATGATATTTCTGAAAGATTTTTTTGTATGTGGCCCCCAACAGCTCACCAAAACTCATTGAGCGGTCCACCAGCTGAAATAATTGCTCACCCCTGGTGTAGAACTGTCCTGGGAATGTGTCTCAAGCGTGCATACAGGCAGCATCTGGAGCCAAAGTACTGTTGCGCCCTACAAAGAACTTCTCAAAAGTAGTGGAAGCTTTTTAATTTCTTTATTTCTTTTTTTGGTCTGCTATCTTAGTGGTCACAATAACAACTTGCCATATTAATGGAAACTGAGCCATATGTGCACAGGCCCATCTAGAGTGTCACTGCTGAAGTTTATCATCCAGAGTGATATGCAGCAGTGATGTCTGAACTCTTTTATGCTCAGTTTGTGTGAATTACCTAAACCAGATATAGGAGCTTGGCAATAATGCATTTAGAACTTGATGTTCTGCAAACCACCTTGGTTTTTCTACTTTCTAATGCAGCTGTATATGTCAGCCCAGGTCCTTGAATGTTCTGTGGAGGTGGCCTGAAGTTCACCATGCCTACTTAGAAGCCTGTAGGAAGACTACCCCACTGCCTAATTCCAAGCCCTGTATTTTCCATTAAATGCCTTCTGGAAATTGAGGGCTATCCTCTCTATCCTGGGGCAGAGAGACCTCTCTGAATTTTCTCTGGAAAATCAATGGGGTATTTGGCTACTGCTCATCTCCAAAGGTCTCAGAAACAACTTAAAAAGTTATTCCAGTGAGATAGAAGGCAATTCATTGTGTTCCCAAAGAGGCAGGAGCAAAACTGTCCTGGTTCTGCTACTAGCTGCTGAGTAAAACACTTGGAGAAGATATAGCCTTTACAACCCATTGTATAAGGTGAACAGCATATCCACACCCTGTGATATAAAATCTAAGTTTAGAAGATCCCCAGTCCTTAAAGAATGCTTTAAGATGTGACTGTATAAACTAATGCTGTGAGGTTTGCTGGAGGCTGCAGAGGCCTTAAAACTAACATTCCAAAGGAGACATCATGTCCTCAGTGCTCGGGTAATCTGAATCCCTTCGATCACCCCACAAATATCAAAATTGTTAGCTATTTCATTGGCATTCGAAATATGCAGATCTAAATAGTAATTTTCATGTTATGAATATTTGCACAATGCATTATGTGCATTGTTTTGCCCCTTGTGAGTGGATTTAGCAAGAGCAGGGAGGTATTACCCCCTATTTGTTTTCCAGTCTGGCCTTTCAACTATCTAGTGTCCTGTCATGTAGTTGCTAAGACTATGGATGCTTTTTTAGATGTTGGCCAATGGGCACCATCAGAACAGAATCCTGAAACCATCCTGTTTTGGCTGGGTATATGTGTTTAAATGAGCTGGGAATTCATAATCTTTTTAGTCATGTTAATGTACTTTTTTAGATAGAGTGGTTGAGGGCTGGGGTGTCATGGGCACTAAGGTGTAGGGTTGATAGGCCAGAGATTGCAAGTTTGTGGCCTTAGTAGAAATGTTTTATGCCCCAGCCTGTCAGAGTCCAACAAATCTGTGAATTCTGCTAAATACTGTGTCACAAGGACATGAAGAAGGAAAGATAGGATGGTACATTTAGCAGTTGAAGTTGGCTTTAAAAACTTATTTTTCATGCATGGTAAACTCATTTAAAAATGAAAGTGCCTCTAACATCCTAGGCACCCGCCATATTTACTCAGTAAAAATTATACTGGGATCTAGAGTGGAGAGTCAACAAGCTATCCTGGTACAACTGCTTGCAATAGTGACTCTTACAGTGCTTTGCAACTTGGTGGCAGGGCAACTGGTAATAAGCTTGTATTTTTGAGCAAAACAGCCACCCTGGGGTAAGCTTCAGGCATACAACATATATATGTTTTGTTCCTTGATTTCTCCCAGGATTGTTGTACACCAGACTTAATTAAGTTACAGAGGTGTAGGGTGGCACATCATCTGTTTCTCTTTTTTACACTGGTACACATGTAGTGTGTGTCCATTGTCAGAGAAACCCTGTCTCATGTATTCATCATGTAGTGCTTAGGGGAAGGTTTTAAAGGGTTCCTGGAAATATGCTCAGTAACATGGAAAAGATATGAGGACTTATTACAGTTTTTGCTTTTCCCTTCTACAGATACTAATATGGTTAATACAGGAGACATGAATGGTTCTGGCAATCTGATGGATTTTCTGGATGAACCTTTCCCTGATGTTGGGACTTATGAAGACTTCCACACCATTGACTGGCTAAGAGAGAAGTCCCGTGACACCGACAGACATAGAAAAGTAAGAGATGTAGGAATAAGCACACACATGAACATACCAACAAAAGCCTTGGTAATATTTATCCCTAAAGCAGAAAAATGATATTTCCAGCATTGTTAAAAAATATTTTGAGTTGGACGTACAAAAAGGTGGGAATAATTTACCTTTTGGAATTCATAATTTCATCTATCAATACCAGAAGTAAAAGAGAGGAAAAAACCTACTGAATGTAAAGGTTCAGAGCTAAACTGAGTAATTGTTTTGGCTGACAAATTCACCTTAAACAACTTTGTTTCACTAGCTAACAAATGCACTGGAGACAAAAAAAAGAAAAAAAAAGAAAACCTGATTGATTTTATGGGGATACTGATGAAGTTGTTTAATAACTGCCTTGCCTTATGAACATGATGCAACAAAATTTAAGTTTGTCTGAATTAGCCTCTATATGTATATCTTTCAGATTACAAGCAAAAGTAAGGAATCCATATGGGAGTTCATCAAGAGCTTGTTGGATGCCTGGTCAGGATGGGTGGTGATGCTTAAGATAGGACTCCTGGCAGGTCTGTGCCTATTAGCCAAAGTGGTGTGTCTAAATGTCTTTCTTGCAGCTTTATAACTGACATCTGCTTATGTTTCACTAACTTTCTGCAGTCCCCAGTGTTTAAAGACAGATGAGATAAAAAAGACAGCTGTGCATCCATGCATCTATAGTGCTTAATGAAAAATTCACTTGGAAAGTCTCCCACTGAGTGCTGACCTAGAAAAAAGGCTATTAACGAGTAATGTGATTTCTATGTTAGTTCTGAAAACAAGCTGAGTGAATGTGCCTTGTCCTTGAGGAATGGTTTTGACTCTCAAACCCTGAATCATGTGTTCTTTTATTCTTGACCTTGGTTACTTTAATTCTATGAATAGATATTTTGATGCAGGATGGAGAGTATTTGGTAGTATACTGGTGAAACATAGCTCTGTAATACACTAGATTCATTGTAGACTGAGAGTTATCTCTTTAGATGTACATGAAAGGAAAACAGAGTTTCTGACTAAATTTCAGATCTGCTCCCAAAGCAGGCAGACGTTACATATTTAACAACCTGCTCAAACTCGGATGGGAAATTCATTAATTTCCTTAGTTGCCCTGTCTTCTGCTCAGTTTAGTATGACTTCCAGTTTGGAAGGCTGCACTCACATTATCAAGTTGAAACAGCTGCCTCTAACATTTTCTAATGATGTTTCAATTATGTCAGTGTGATCGTGCATCAGCCCTCTCAGTAACAGAATGATTCAATGTCCATGCAAAAGCTAGTGTGACTACTTTGCTTTAACATGCAAAATTAGCCACAAAGGCAACATCCAGATGAAAGCAGCTGTGCAGTATGCGGCACCACAGACCCATCTGTGGCACCATGCACTGCACATTCAGGTGTTCTGCACAGTGCAAGGTAGCAGTGCAGGTAGGGTTTTTTTTGACCCTGGGAGATCCCAGGGTCAAAAAAACCCATCAAAAAAAAGCAAGGCAGCGCATGCAGAAACAGTGCTTGCCACTCAAAACCAGAGCTGGTCAGCCAGATCCATGCTACGGCTGCCAGCCAGGCTCTGAGTGGCAGGATTGCCACTGCTGCAGCCCCAGAAGGCCCCCAGGATCCTAAGTAAGGCTGCTGGGGCCAGCGCAATTGCTGACCCTAGCCTCTTCTATCCCACTCGGGGTAATCTGCTGCACATTAGAGGGCGTATGGCACAGGCGTTTCTTGGAGACAAGTAACAGTGGCACAAGGTGTGCCTCTGCTTCTTGTCTCCAGGGAAACAGTCCATGCACGTGTGGACGCAGCCATAGGATGTATCTAGATGAGCATGCATTTGCAGTTTATAGCACTGCAAACCTATCTGTGGTGCCCAATGGCAATGCAAAGTGGGTGCACGTACACCCCCTGAGATCAGCTGTGCACCCCCTGGAAGCACCAGCCATGAAACCAGAAGTGGACTTCTGGTTTTGCCACTGGCTTAGTGATCGGCCACTGGGGGACCCTCTCCCCTGCCCCCCGTTGGTGATCTGGTGCCCCCCCCCCCCGACTCAGGAGGCAGCAGTCACCCATGGGGGGGCTATAAACCACATGTAATGCACACGTAGGTGTTTGCCATGCTACTAATTTGCAGCACAGTGGAGGCAGGGGGGTTGACACCAAGTCAAGAAAACCTGTGCCTGAAAAAAGGTGGAACAGGAAGGAGGATGCTTGTGGCAGCAGAGCGGGGCCACCCAAATCCTGGCTGCTGCTAGAGTCCTGTGAAGCCCCCAGGACCTCAGGTAAAGCTGTTGGGGCCAGCCCAGGTCCTGGCGCCAGCTTCCCCTGCACCACCTGGGACAACTGCTGCACACCAGGGGGTGTGTGCACAAGTGTTCCCCAGGAACAAGTAGCAGCATCACAACTATGTGCCACTGCTATTTGTCCCCAGGGAAATACATGTGCTTTCTCATCTGGATGCACTCATACAGAGGTATTTTTGTACTCATTCCTATTTTTATAAAAGTACTTAGAAAGATCTCTTTTATTCCAAAGTAGAATGAAAATTAATCCTGAATCCTTGAAAGTTGCTGCAAAAAGTCCTCTGCTAGCTTTAGTTGTGGTACATCTAGGCTAAGAAAAGAGGTTGAGAGTAAGTTGTATCATTTATTAGATAAATTCACCCTTTTCCACAGCATGGCTACAGTTTAACACCCTTTACCTTAAACAGTTAAATTGATGGAGCTAAACTCAGGAAAATATTGCAATTAGGTTGCAAGGTTGTTGGTTGTAGCTATGTTGGTCTAAGACCATAGGCAGTCAAGGGTTTTTGGGTAAATGTGATATCTTTTGTTAGACCAACTAAAAAGTTGGAAAAAACTTCTTTGTAAGCTTTCAGACACAAACAAGCTTCTTCAGGCATTGGGATGACTCTGCTCACAGGTGTAATTTTAACCCAATTGTAATTAGATTTGTTAGGGGCTCCCTCCCTTCCCAAGGGAGAAGGTGAGTAACCCACAAGTCACACATCAAGGTAAAACCCAGTTATAATTCTTTATTGGATGATAATCAATTCGAATTTCACTAAATCAATGTATAATCAAAGCTTTAAATTTGCAAGTGCATTAGGCTGGCGGAAAGGCACTCCCCACCCTACCCCTGAGCTATTACCTGATGGATCTCGGGAACCCCACCCTGCGTCCAGGGTGGTGAGACTACCTCCTTTATGGGGTCCTCAGCCTTGTCCTCCCCAAAGTAGTTCCGCCCAAGTCTTTGTTCTTATGAACTTTATACCTTTCTGCCCCCCATCCCCATGTGTTCCTCCAATCACACAAAGCTTTTAGCCTTATCACCTTTTATGGATTAGAGCAAGCCTCATCGTATGCTGCAAAACTAGGGAGGTCACCTTGGACCCCCTCGTAGTTCCTCCTTTTTCTGAGTGACAGGCAGAGATACTTAGGCAGTGCCACAGTTCCTCTTTTCTGAGCTGTTAGTTCGGGTACTTTTCCAGAACTGTTGTATTACTTAAGTGCAGTTCCCGCCTCCTCCCAGAAGCCTCTTTGGGATGGACCTCACAATCCCTCCCTGACTAGTTGCATCTGCACGTACTCATGCCAATCAAAATTTCGTAGGATGACATAACTGTCGACATAGTCTGTCAGACCCTTCATTTGCCAATACAACCTTCGAGCATAGCAGGTAAGCATACACATTAAAAAGCATAGGATAACGATGCATAATAACACAATAACTATAGGGTGTAGCATAAAATTCATCAACCCCGTCCATGTGAGACTATATCCCGGAAAGATGTCGTACCAATGGTGTCCAGACACTGACTCCAATTCTGCTGTCAGTTTCAGGAGCTTACCCTTTTGGTGTATTATGTGCAGGCTCGCTTGTTTCTCTTTACTCAAAGCGCTGGCATTATGTACCAATCATCTTTTTCAATTCCCCCAATTGTTGATAGACAGCTTCCCATGAAGGGCCTAATGACATTGTCCAATTCACCAGAAAAACCCTTGCCAAGGCTAAGGAGCGGGAATAAATGGGCTGCCCATAGATGTGCCCCCCACTTTTTCTACAGCAGTGGCATTACAGCGACATTCTCTGATGGGAGCTTGGGAGACGTTCCCGTCATTCCAAGTTACTGGAGTTACCAAAGCGACACACAAACACCCAATGGCATTCTCAACTACCACCATAGTTTGGTTAAAGATGCCATCCAATACACAGTCTCCCACACTGTCTTGGTGTAGACAACAGGGATCGATCAGAAAATTTT